TTTGTTCTTATAATATTATAGTAAATAATACCTATATTACATTATAATAAATAATATATTATATTATTTACACATCTGTTCTATGATTTCCGATTTTATGTTATTTAGCATGTCTATAAATTGTTTTTTAGCTTTTAAATTGATGTTAGTCATATATTTTATGAATCAACCATTTATTATGTATGTTATTTTTCTGTTAGATAATATTATGTGAAGACTAATAAAATTTGATTTTTCATGTTTATCAATTCAATTTTCACTGATCGAATCATTCACGCAGTTTATTCGATATGTTTTTTAAACCAACCCGCTTATCATATTTTCCAGTTGACTTCTTATCTATATTAATTCTGTCGATATTTTTATTGACACTAAAATATTCTGTTTTAGGTATATTTTCTATTCCCGAACTATAATCTATTTTAAGTTTTTTTAGTTGATGCTTCAGTTAACAATCGTTTTTGTTTCTTTTTTTAAATTTATATTTTAAGTTTAACCATATTTCACTATAATTAGCTATTTATAACCGTTGCAACTTGTATTAATATTATAACTCACATTTTTAAAGATTATCTTTGAAGGATAAGATTATAGAAATATTTGTATCATAATATACCTACTATAGGCTTAAGTACTTATAACACATTATGCAGGTGCAATATACTTTGTGAATACAACATTTATAGACAYCGCCCATCCAACCCCCTAACCGATACACCGGTACTACTACGAGTTCTGTGAACTAGTATATAGATACCAATATGGATTTATTCGCGAGTTCGATCGTAGAAAATTCTCTGTGGTTGTCATTTGAGTTATTGATCAGCTCGCGCGTACTTTGCCCGTCACATGATTTCTTGTGCATTAAGAATATCATTTATAATATATTACCGCACTCGTACAAATGGATGTAGGTAGTAATACTGTATTATACATCTAGAATTTTTCAATTGCATTTTACCTTATACGATTTATTGTACATTATTCTTACCAGTAATACACATCCGATGTCAAATAATAAATTATTATCGTCATTTTTACGATGGAAACTAATCCACATATTTTAGGAGTGCATGTAACACACACACACACACACACCATACACACAGATATATATATATATATATATATTGCATGATACAACGACGTTTGTATTCTGTGATATATATTTATACGCGGCACACAATAATAAAATGGATCGTTATAAATAACATCCAATATTTTGTACTTACAATTTATTTTTAATAGAAACAATTTAAAAATGTTAATAATTTAATACCTGTATAATATTATGATGGCTGAATGACTAATGTGAACTGTCAAACATTTATAATGTTATTTAAGTATGAATATAACATTAATTTACCATTAATATTGAACATTTTTAATTTCCTTTGTAGATAATTATATTATATTTGTTGAATTTATGTAGCTAGTTGATTGGAAGTAAGTAGTAGAGTCGCAGAAATAGAAAATATACAATACACACTAAGAGTTATTTTGTTCAGATTTTTAAAACACTAATGAAAGTGTATAACAATGATTGCATAACTCATCATTTTAAAATTATTTGGTAATTTAAAAAATAGATTGTTATCAATAAATATAATTGAAATAAATTAGGTACCTTCTGTGATTTTAAACATGCATTACAGTCTGAAAGTTGTATTTTTTGCATTTTAATCGCTTTAAAGTAAAGTTAAATAGTTAAATAAGTTAAATTTTGGAAAAACTGTTTAAGTAAATAAAAAAATTAGGATTTAATGAACCAAAGATAATTTTTATTAAACATTGCAATATATTTATCCATTAAAACTTTTGATAACAATACTTTAACATAGATTATAGCTTTGAGTTCATTGAATATAATCGCATAGCGTATATTATCATCTGTTTTATATAAATTAAAATGATACAATTATTTCYGTTAGATTTTGTGCAGAACACATATTTTTTGTATAATATGCATTCTCGCACGTGAATATGAGTATATTATTATTTATTTACAATTATTTAATGCAAACATCATATGAAAATAACTTCTCTTTCCCACGTGSATTATATTATGTCTCGTTTTAATGGTAATATAATGCTATTAAATATTTACATTTGCTAATATAACATTACCACTTTATAACTCTGGAATATAGGTTTGACTACCTATATTATACATTTAGGTAGGTATAACAAGTTGAAATTCATACGGTTTATTGAGGTAAGCCATCGCTATTCATTAGTTAAAATAAATAATTTTAATAATAAAATACATAGTTAGAGCTGACTGAAAAAAGTAGGTGGAGTTTTCACGTGATAGAGGAGTATGATAACCACAACAGCTAGCTTTCTAATTATTGTCGACGCTTCAATACAAATTATAACCATTATTATTGCAYGCACGTTTGAGACACTTTATTATAAAGTTYATGTTTTGTATGAAATAATTAAAATTATAATTTTATATGTGTGACAAGCACAGAATAACCTCTGTATTCGAACTCCAAATTTAAGTTCGATAATCACTTCCAAGTTACCAAAGACACTATTGCGAGTGGGTGTGGCTATACTTTTGAGTTACTCTACGACTAACTAAAAAATAATATTTATTATTATTATTGCAGTTTACATACTATTATGATTCATAACTAAATTTTGAATATATACTCAAGTGTTTATATGATTATTTATTGTTAACTTTGTATAATCCACCTATTTGTATTTTGAATATAATATTCCATTTCACTCGTAAAATTCGAAAGCGATTTATTACTTTTTTATATTTAAAAAATAATAGCAGAAAAAAATGTTTATACACTGATTTACTAGTTTTATTTGTCYGATATTAAAAAATGAAATATATATTCCGAATAATTGAGTACGAGAAACATTTCGTATATTACTTGCAAATTCGACCCCGAATAAAACAACGAATTTATCACGACCGCCAAGTAAATAAACACGAATTCAACGGGCGCAGGCTAATCGGGTTTGAGATTTTCCAAAGAAGGGAATGAGAATATTATGATGTTATAAGTTCGTAAGTATACATTTTGATCAGTATGTTATGGCATTATCATCCCCGTCGGCATTGGCCTTGTTTTCTCTACTTACACATTTTTTTTTTTTACCACATACATTGCAACATTTTTCTTCTAAATCAAACCGTGGATGTTCGAAATATAATTGTCTGTTTCGGATAAACACATAATATACTCGAATATACTATATGTATATACCATTCTCGTTGACTAATAAAATAACTAAGGGTCAACAGACATATTGGACTCGATTTATATGCTTCGTGTGTGCGTAAAACGAGGATAGTATCGTTGTAATGTTTTATGCTGTTCGCCATCAATAACAACCTGATCCTTGAACCAAGATAATTCTGTATTGTAATATTATATAGTATGTATTGCTCTCGAATTTCACAGATACAACTTAACGATATCCAACAATACGTCGCAATAAACTTATATATTATTATT